TAATTAATGCAATATGAAAGAACCTTTACTTTCTATCAACTATATTTTACATTTCAGGGTATTTTAATTCTAGGTGAAGTTAGTCTATATTTCTGTAGTTGAGAAATATACCCTATACTCTGTGTTTTAATGCGACTGTCATATTGAATCTGGTTTAGGATGTTTGCTCTAACAACTTGATAACATGTTTAGTAGCAATCTTTTTGTACTACAGTATCTCTACTTCTGGAGCATTTCACTTATTTCTGTTGTTTGCTTGTGTATTCTGCTTAAGGACACTTGCTGAAGCCAGCTCAGGTGTAATATGATGAAGGTTGTGACTCTCTTAAGCACCCATTATGATTTTAATTTTCTAGGAAAGGGTGGAAATACATACACACAACAATAGTGTGCAACGTGCAGCAGGAGCTGTCACAGAGGTTGTGTCAGTGTCATTATCCCTTGTCTTCCTCCCAGCAACTCCTCTTTGAAACCGTGGTTGCAGTAAGTGAAAGTCAGAGGGTGTCCTGATGACCCCGCTACTGCTCAGGATGACTAGTGTCACCAAGACTTGATGGAAACTCACTGTGATTCCAGAATTCATAGAATCATAGAACCACAGACTAGTTTGGCTTGGAAGGGACCTTAAAGCTCATCCAGTTCCAGCTCCCTGCCGTGGGGAGGGTCACCTTCCACTAGACCAGCTTGCTCCAAGCCCCTTCTAACCTGGCCTTGAACACTGCCAGGGATGGGGCAGCCACAGCTTCTCTGGGCAACCTCTGCCAGGGCCTCCCCACCCTCACAGGGGAGAATTTCCCATGATATCATCTGAATCTTCCCTCTGTGAGCTTAAAGCCATTCCTCATCTGCAGCACATACCCAAAAAACCCCAGAGTGAAATGCTTACTCCACTGTTTTGGTTGTTATCACTCACACAAATAATGCAAATATAAGCCTCACCAAATATTTGAATAATTTTTATAACCAGATGTCTAAAAGACAGGTGAATCTATGTCAGAATGGTTTTTTACTTCTTTTCCATTATTTAGTAGCTTTCCTGTTTGCAGCTGATGAACTGCCATTTAGAACCTCATGGCTTACAAAAGCCAGTAGTTTCTCAGAACGGGTGACATCTTTTGCTCCAGATTTTACTGGAATACTATGACTTGATAGGACACAGCAGGTAATTATTAAATATCTTTTAACCTACTATGTTTGGATAAAGATGCCAAACCACTCATTCCTCTGATGGTCTTTGAATTCAAGGCACTCAAAATATTTTCCTTAAGTTTTCTTAATGTACCTTTAACGTAGCAGGGTTAACATGGGGTGTGCTCATGTCTGAACCCAATTTAATGGCAATTCTCCCAAAGATGTGAAAAGGGCAGAGTGGTCCCTTATTTTGATGAAAATAATTTTCAATGAAATAAACAACATTTCTGACAGAGGTCTCCCACTATGCTTTGGCTAAAAGGTACTGTCTTAATTGAAATAGTGCTGCTTAAATACTTATAGGTACATAGGAAAGCATGAGCTAATCTTATTTCTTTGTATATGGTTTGTGAAAAGATGCAGTGAGTGTATCCATTTGTTCTCTTGGAGTGTAGGATTTGTCAAAATGAAATATTCACATAGGATAGCACAACACTCACCCGCTAGCTAAGCTGGCAAAAATTCTCACAATAAACATCAGGATACGCTGGTCAGAGAGAATCAGACCCCTATGTGGGAACACACCAAATTCATCAGAACTTGTTATAAAAAAAGGAATATAAAACATCATGGTCAGCCAGCATTATGGCTTTTGGTTACCCATCTTCTCTGTGACTATCTGTAGGTTCACTAAGTCATCTGTAAGCTGTCTAGAAAACACACGAGCTACCCTGTGCCAGGGTCACTGTCCAAGTTCAAAATCAGAGACGACAACTTGTTTACTTGGTAAAAATTACGCTGACATCTTTTCATCTTCAGTTTGGAAGACCAAATTTAAATGTTGAGACAGATCCTGATCACTCTTATATTCTTGTCTTGTAAATTAAATGAGCAGGAAGGGAAGAAACATTGACAACTAGTCAAACCAAACTTAATTTCCAAGGGTTTCCCACATGGAATTTTCCTTAGTTGAATTGCACACTATGTGCCCTACAGAAACCACCAGAACTTCTCAGCAGGTATCAGACCTCTGTGCTTTCATCTTTGACAGTGTACTTTGTCATCCTACAAACACAATGAAGCATATGAAGGTTATCAGATGAAAACAAAACATTTATTTGTCACATTTCTTTTCTCTGGGAATGGCCAGTAAATCCACAATGTGTCAAGTCCCTTGTTGTTACAGCAGAAGTGAGGAGACATATATAAATGTCTGTAATTCCTCGTTCAACCCCTTTCCTAGAAGAGGCTTCCTCCACGCTTTACAAGTACCAGTGAGTGAGCATGAGACATGGCTGTCAGCAAACCAGTCTGACCACATCAATCCACCTTGCCTTGCTCTGGGTCTGGCTGGGATGGGTGCTGTGCTTTGCGTTTGTGGATAAACCAGTGTGGATAACACAGCAGTGTTTTGGCTACTGCTGATCAGTGCACACACAGCACCAAGGCTTCATGCTGGCTGGGCTCAAAGCACCAGACTTATCTTCTCCCACCTTCTCGCTATTCATCCTGACCCATTTTCTACTTGCAGTAAAACTTAATTCCAAACACCATTGTTTCGTTTCCGCTTACATGCAGAATGCTCTTTATTTAAGCATCCTAAACTTTCAGCTGAATTAAGTTTATATACACACACATATATGTTTCAAAGGATCATTTTTTAATGACTTAATCTAAAATGGGTATAAAACTGTGCTCAAATCAGTGTGATAAAACATACCCATCTCTGTTGTGGAAAGAGATGAGTTTAATTTTCATCATGGGTCAGACACTAGAGAAAAAGCAGGCTTTAATGGAGATGACAGTTAAGCACTGGAACCAGCCACAGCCATAAGTTGTAGACTATCCATCACTGCAGATTTTTAAGGACAGATTAAACACCTGTCAAACAGAGTTTAGCTGCCATTGTTCCCGTTTTAGGGTAGAAATACAACTTTTCAGGGTGTTAATCCTACATTCTTTTTCATACCTACCCTGCATTCAGGTAGATTTTTAAATATCCCAGACATTTAAAATTGTGGCAAGTGAGGGTTGGTCAGTCTACCAGCACGACCTGCTGCGTCATTGGCCTCATCTTCCAGAGATATTCCTGTTACCTTCCAAAGACCCTTGTCTCATTTTTTTTCCTCCATTCCTCCCACTTGGCACAGCAGAGAGAAAACTTTCAAAGCAAGCTCTTGGATGCATTATCCTATCAGTAAGTAAAAAGCACCACCTGAAGCCACTATTCTTTACTCTTTTCTGAATTAACCTCCTGTAATCATATAGCAAATTGTACAACAGCAGGGGGAACAGGTGATTTTTCATAAAATATTTAGCACTTTCAGGTTGCTCAAAGAGGAATCTGCCTGCTCTATATAAAATCAAATGTTCTTTGAGAGAGAGCATGCAAAGAAAAGCTTCTTGCTTAACTTAATGCAAGCAATGTCAAATGTAGGTAAAATCACCTGATAACTCTAAACAAAATTACAAGCTGTGTTTTAGTTGGTTGGTTTGTTTGTTTAAAAAAGCATGTAGGCTCTTCCCCTTCCTAATTTCAAGCTATACTCAAAGAAGAATTTTGATTTGGGCTGGAAAATACTTCTGTCAGTGGTGAGTTATAACTGCAGCTTCACTGAGCCCAAATTTTGGATTTATGCTTTTGATTTTAAAGTTAAACAGCACTTCACATTAAAAAGTGCTAGAAGCAGTGAGTTTTTTCTATTTTAAAAATGTTGTCAGTAAAGGCAACCATTAGAAGCTAAGAGAAGAATGAGAAGGAAGTACTTAAAGGGAACATAATTTTTACATGAGAAAAAAATAGGGCTTTTAAACAGTCTCTTTTTTCCTCTGTTACCAGCTCTAGGCTTAAAAACAGTAAAAAAAAAATTTAAGCTTTTTTTTTCACTATTATTTGTGACAGCATTGCACTGAACATTGCAATAATTACAAGGAGAAAAGAACAGTATGCGCATTTCTAACTCAGTTGCATGCTGCCAACACTTTAATAGGTTCCGTTCGAATACCCTTTCCTTTGCTATTGATTAAGAATCTGTGCTGCAGAGAATTACTAAGTAAGAAGTCAGAATTGATTTATTTTCTTGTTTTTAATTATGCGAGAAGGCTTAAAACTTGAAAGCAACATCTCAGCATTATTATTATATATTAATATAACTATACACATTTTCTTAATCTTTTCGGATACAAATACTGGAAAAAGGTAAGAATGGATTGTATTCCACTGGGAGTCAAACTCCTGGCCTTTCCCTAGTGACAAGGAGCATAAGCTGCTCCTTTTTCATCACTTCTGTGACTCCTAGCAGGAGAAAAGCCAGATACTGAACTTGCCTGAAGAGGCGTCTAACGAGCTGTATAAAGTGGAGGCTGAAAAGGACTCTTTAAACCTTCCACTCTTGGAAAGCCCAGCTATGACTGTCATCTGTCAGTCAGGGAAATAAGTCTTTGAGAAGCATCACTGAAAACTTCCACGCACAAAAACTCTGATCAGTAGGAAAAGAAAGTAATAGGGAAATAGATGTTACCCTTTGGCATGAATTCCTCTGCACCAACAAGTAAGCTTTGGGAAAACTGATTATACAAGAGAAATCAAAGGTTTTAGACAAAGGAGCAGGACATATTTGCCACTTACATGAAGTTACTAGATGATTTCAAAATAGGCTAAAATGCTGTAAAAAAGTTGAGAGGTTTAATGATTACAGTAAAAGCTCAACTGTTTCACGATTTTGGTTTGCTAAAACACAAAACAATGTCATTAAAACACAATCTGAAGGAGAATAAACCCTGTGCCACAAGTTTCAGACCCTATATGGCATGTTTGGTAAAACATCATAGTTGTTCTAAAAAACACAAAGCCACATGCTAAAAGTTACCTTACTTGATCTTTTCCAACTCTTCCTCATTAGCATTGTCTGAAAACAAAATAGAGCAATTTAATTACCTTTTCTCTGCAATACAGAAAAGGAGGCCAACTGTCTCTTATGAGACAATCCACATTTAACCACAACTACAACTGAAGCAGCCACATGTACACTCCAGCAACAGCTACACAAGACTGAAATAAATCTGGGCAACTAGCAGCAAAGTTCAGAGTCGGCACTGTTTCCAGAGACAACACATTAGGTGAAATTGTTTAAATTAAATTAAAAAAAAAAAAAGAAGAAAGAATTAGATTAGCAAATGAGAAAATGAATGTGACATTACTGGCAGTGACTTCAACTTTGACTGATACTTGAATGGTAGGGTTTTTAGTATTAATGTACTCCAGATTTTTGAGCACTACTTTTTAGCTCATAGGTGTAGCCACCTAAGAGAAATCCTGGCTAAGGCTCTTTGGACAACATGTATCTATTTAAAAGTCCTTAAGTTTGCCACTGCTAATTAGTTTCACAGCAGTAAAAATAGCTCTTTGGTTTGATAGTTATTCACCTGGGACAGAAAAAAACCTCATACTTCGACTCAAAAACACCCAAAATGTAGTAGCCCTATACCATCACCCAAATACTCTCTGAAATCTTGGGACTGCTAGATACAATGTTCTGACATGCCAGGAGGCAAAGTGTCCACACACACACATTCTTAAAAAAAAAAGAGAAATACCAGTCAAGATGGAGGTGGACAATTTATCCGTGAACATAACTGTTGGTTAAAGCAGTTCTGTGAAAACACCAGTAAATTAATTTATACAATTAAATAATATTCAGCAGCCTGTTGTTGACACACCAAAGATCACTTATTTCTATTGAAAGTTTGCCATGAAAAACAAATGTTATTTTTATTAATTACTGCAAAGCCACCTTCTTTTTCAGATAATGGAAACAAATCCTGAAATGCAGACTTTGCTAAGAAATGAGAGTATTACATGGGTAAAATTTGAAAATGGGAGAAAATAAGTGTATTTCTTAGTTTTGAAATATCCAGAAATTCTTCCAACTGGCACAGTTCTGGGGGAAAAGAAAATCAAAGGGCTGCTGAAGAAAGTTTAAGTTGCTGTAGACAGTTAAAGCCTGGAGACTCTGCCCTAAGTTAACGAGAATTGTAGCACTGTGGCTTTGAAAAATATCCACAGATACTAAATATTTTATAAGGCTGGAGAAAACCATTTATGTAAGAATTAAGCAGCTTGAAGACCACAGGAGGCAATAAAAGAAAACCTCTGAGTTTTGGATCCTGTGAATCCTGCACATCTCTAAGTCAGAGCAGAAACTCAACTAGGCTTTGGACCAGGCTGTGAGCAAGGAGGAGAACATTGCCTGACAGACGAATTAACTGCATATAATAAGTTCTGTTTGAGTCATAGCTACGGAATGTATGTTGAGTGAATCACCGTCATCACCAGCTGCAGCAGGATAACTTGAAGCCATCATAACCATCCTTAGAATCCCGTAAAACAAGTACATATTATACGGCAGACTAGGATGGATAATCCACACAGAACTGTTTAATCTGAAAATATTCCATGCCCTCAGTCGATCTCCTTCTATTCCTTTTTTTTTTTTTTATATATATGATGATAATATCCCTCTGGCAAATTAAAAAACAAAACAAAACAACAAAAAAAAGAACCACTGTAAGATTTGAGACAGCAAGCAAACTGACAGCATATTAATGCTTTAATATCTTTATCTGAAGCAAAAAAATACTAAGCATCACTTGGGATAAATTATTTAAGGAAAAAAAATGCTGTGAACTTTATTCTCATCGAATAGCAACATCCAAGTAGCACTCGTGTTTCCTTTTTCCTGCTTTCTACAGTACTCAGGCCGTTGGCAGTGGTGGAATGGTAGGCCCCAGTCTCTGCCGGCCCTAAGGCAACAGCTGTTATCATTCCCTGTAGCCAAGGGCTGCCTGCAAGACCAAGGTTGGAAACAACTGAGAAGATGCAGGAGACATGCAACAGTGATGAGCACATGGTCATGCTGCAGTGATGAAATCTGCATGCTGAGCTTTGCCAGAGAAATAAACTGACATGCACTGTGGCACCTGTGACAACAACGCCAAACACAGCACCTGCAGACTTCACATGCACAGTGTGACTGGCGTGCACATAGCTACAAACAGCACAGAGGCATGCACAGCACTACACACATCCAAAGGAAAGTATTAATGGATAGTGCTGGAATTAAAGAAGTGAAGTGAGCTTCATTGGAGCAAGTCTAAGCAAAAAAATTAAGTCATTGCTAGCTTTGACTTTTGTCAAACTGGGCATCAAAAGGAGAAATTAATGAAAAATACAGAAAGTACATCATAAACACATTATTTCTTTAAAAAATTAATAAATTTTTTCGTAGACCTCACAGGTTTTAATGTTTTTCTAAACACATACTTTCCCCATACCTATTTATTTCATGACTTAATTTCCACTAGTTATCTAAGCTATCTTTTCTCTCAGAGCAAAATAATTAAAAATGCTAAATAATTAATGTAAAGGACAAGTACAGTTGACAGCACAGAGCAAATGCATATGAATTACTGGAACAAGTGCTACTGCAATTAATTATGTTAGGCTGGAAATTGATTACTTTTTGCTAATACTGAAGACATTCTTATTTTTAAGAATAATTGCAGAAACATTCATCAATTTTGATTCAAAAGTTCTGATTGAAAATAGGAACAAGCCAGATTGTCTTCATTCATCAAAATTCAAAGGAATAAGACTTTAATTCATGTATATAGTTCGAATGAGATATTACAAGATTATTACTTTAACAGTTCACATTTTTATGCCTTTACAACAAGCATTAGGTCACAAAAGGCAAAGATAATGGCATAGAATATTTGCTAGAAAGTTTGGCCACCTGTCCATACTCTTAAATTAATATTCAGTGATAACTGCAGGCTACTTCTGTATTTTCTTCCCATAAAACATACCACAAAAATCAAATAGTGTGTTCTTCTTTATGGAACTAGTACACTAAATCTCCTTCACCTGAAACCATGTCTAACATTTTTCTATTGGAAAAACACAAATAGTAAACTACTTGATCACTGTTTTTCACTCCAGAGTAAGTAAATTCTCCATGACTCAAAGACAAACTCCCCCTTCTCTTAATCTATAATACAGTTTCACGTCCATTTACACGAACATATGTATATGTTAATATTCCTACTTGGTATCTGAATCCAAAGATGTAATCAGGTTTGATCCTAGCAAAACAGACCTAGCTATAAATTCTAAAGAACATGTAATCAGGCAACACACAGAAAATCTGCATTTCCTCAGAATTTCTTTCAAAAAGATGAGGAAGAGAATGCTCCTATTTATACCTAATCTCTCTCTTATCTCTTCGCACACCTCATGGCTTGACAAAAGATAGTTTCACCCAAACCAAATTAAGTATTCCTCTGTCTGACTGCTTGTTTTAAATGATTTGTAGTAATACTTCTATCACAGACAGATGGCAATACACAAGGCCCCATATTTTGTACTATTTAACTTCAAACTTCCAGCTGCAGTATCTTATCCTCCAGCAGTATCAGTATTTCTTGCACAGTGTGACAGGATGCATGATTCCTGTAATACACCCGTGCATTATCTTGATATTCCAACAAAATGCTTTGCTGCCCAAAATGCGGGGTCAGACACAACACTGCTTCTATGGCTACACAAGAATGCTACTCCTGTTTCCATTTTCCCAATGGTCTTAATAAACTCTCTCATTTTAAATATATATGGAATTGAAGTACCTAAAATTTAAGCAGCTTCCTCAGCTTGAGGATGTAACTATTTTACACCATTTACATGTGACAATATGTGCAAGCAGATGTAGAATTATCACCTGAACAAACTGAAACTTATTCAGAATAAATTGTGTTTTTAAATTGGAGGCTACACAGAGATACCAAAGCAACAAGATTTAAATAAATTTGCAATGATTTAAGAAAAAAAAAGTGCACAATGTGAAGACACAGTGTTTCTGCATGTTCTATGCAGTCATTAAAGCATATTTAGAGGTGCTTACACGGCTTTATCTCTATATTTCAACTATACTGTTTGAATTATTACCTGCATAGAGATATCCAAGTAGAAGGGAAGCAGCAATTATGCAAACAGCATGCTACACAGATCGGGAGTTTCTTTAATCAGTACTTTGTACACTGCACATTTCCAGAGTGGACAAGAACTAGCCTCAATCCTTTAACATAACATTTGGAAAAATATTGATCTCAGCCACATGAAATTCAATAAAAATTGTCCATATTATTACAAGACCTTTTAAAATTACTAAGGATAACAATTTAATTGGGGCGACACATTTTGTAATATACCTACTCCTTAGAGAGTAAATAAAATCTAATAAATAAATAATATGTACATGCAGCAACTGAATAAAAGATAACAGTGCCTTGAATTATTAAACTCCTAACACACTTATATACAGCAATTCAGTATTGATTTTGTAGGTCATCTCCCCTCTGACACAAATTCTCTAATTTTATTTCATCTTTGTCAGAACCGCTCTGAAATCCATACCTTAGAGACTCTGGTTTCTAATACTAAATATAAAGCTTCAGATTAAGAACCTGAAGCCTACTCTGAATTTTGGGCATTTCCAGAATGAAGTCCCATAATAACAGTTCGAATGGGAAGAAAAATTAGGTAATTGGGGTAAACTAAGAGTATTTGCTTACTATATAGAATCACAGAATCATTTAGGTTGGAAAAGACCTTTAAGATCATTAAGTCCACCCATTAAATTACTGAATCCAACCATTAGAGGAAAAAAAAAAGAAGCATAACAGCACAAACCCAATTCTTACTCCTATAACAACCAGTCAGCTGGGTATGAAAAAAGTTGCTACCCAGCAAGTCTATAGTGCTCCCATTACTTCTGACATTCTGTGGCAAATTCACCAAGTAAATACACATGTGAAAGACATGTTACACTATAGTGGTTTAATTTCACTTTTTCACCTGTGACTTTCTTGAGTGCTTTTGATATAATAGCTGGTAACACTGAGCATCAGGGTAGCTATCACAGCTGTATGATGAAAAAGGAAACTAATGTGCTGTTCACATGTTTGATTTCCACATAAAAATACAGTATTTCCATGCTGTGTTGATTTAGGATTATGGCAGGACAATGCCAAAGCCACTTGGAAAACAGGGCTATTACCAGCTTACTCAGAAATGCTGGTGGTACCCAAATACACAAACAACCCCCCCTGAAATTAAATACTATTTTCAATTTAGGTGATAAACACTTTAGTGTTAGACAGTTAGTCTGAATTGTCTGGACAAATGTATTGCTAAAAGAAAGAAAAACACACTGTCTAATTAAACTGCCATTGCTTCCACATTCTACTCTTTTTGTTAAGTTCCAATAGAATGTCATGAAGAGATGAAAACATAGTTTTCAAAACTCTACATCTCTGTCACACCAAATACCAAACACCTAGTTCCAATAATTGACTTACTAGGTTATTTAATAACAGCTAGGAGAAAAGTGGAAAATGAAGCATATTGGAATCTGCCAATATTCCTCAGGTATACAACAGAATGATTTGTCATGCTGCAGCATATAGAAACATATATCCTCTTATGAAAACCATATAATGGACCATATCCATGGAAAATTTCATCATGTTAGCATTTTTTCTTGGCATCCCTGAAGCCAAAGGAATCCACATTATTTTACAAGCTCTGAGACAGAAGTCATCTCTTGTATTTCTGCCATAGTTGTACCAGTACTGGTCAAGTCAAAAGTCAACTGAGAAAAAAACTAGTAAAATACATCAAACTAGAGACAGAATTTGTCAGAAGTAACAGGATCTATAAAATTGGAAACAATTTTCACTTATAACTAAGCAGATCAAAAACTAAGATTGATGAAGAAATTACAATAAACCTAAAAACCCACATGATTTTATAATTGAAATCAGCTCATAAAATTGAAAAACATCAAATAATACTCTATCATTAGATGCCAAAAAGCAGAAATACTACCTTTCTTCAAGTTTCTTTGTTTACAGTGTGGAATAGGATTCAAATGATCTTATCTAGAGGTGGCAACACTAGGTCCAAAATCCTTCACTAATAGTTTACTGATATTTATCTATATTAATCAGCACCATTCACCTGCAACTGACTTAAACTGCTGAACATTTACATTCAATCTGGATCCCGCAGTTCTATCTCAGTAAAGATTCAAATCAGACAAAGTATATGGTACTACACCAGAAACACTCTTCAATTTATTTTAAGAATTGGAAAAATTCAAGTTAATCCCAGAATTTAACTGGTTTGCTATTGTATTTAACTGGTTTATTCCCGTGATTTAATTTCTGTGGTGACAGAACAAGAGAGGTAACACATATTGAAACATTTAAAATTACCACTTCCCGCTGTTCTTCTCTAGGAGCCAACAGAACTGATAATAATATGCTTCCCAGATCATGGTCAGGGTAATGAGGATCCTTCAGACTCAAGGTAACATCTGTTTGCCTAGGAAAAAAAAAGATATGCATTTCTTTTCATTACAAGCTTTCGCTTAATGAAATTTCTGAATCATGGGAATTAAGGGCATCAACATTTATATGAAACACTTGAAAATGTCACAAATTTGCCCTATTTCTACTTCCTAGTACTGCATTCTGAACACTCATAAACAGCAACAACCATTACCCTGTGTTAAGGACTTATAGGTACTGCAGTAATTAAATCTGAACTGTAACAATAACAGACTGAAAAAAAAAGTTCAGCAGTAAGTGGTAATGCTGTAAATTCATGGAACATAAATACGAGGTTAAAGTGGTTATAAAGTTAATGTCTCTGTAGACACTAAAAATTATTTTTCATGATCAATTAATATATTAACTTTCATATTACAGTAATTCCCTAAGCATAAGTGGTTTTCCTCAGATGGTTTTATATGATGTAGGTTTATATAATTATTTTCAAGCACACTGTTCTATTTGCAATTCCATAAATATAATATTAGGATGTAATCATGAAGAATGACTCCATAGGCTTGTTTGTGTCATACCTGTTTAATTCCAGTGATGTGAGATCCAAAAACGCTGAACCAATAAAGTCATCTTGAAGTCCAAAGTCATAGTCAAAGACCTAAGATGCACAGGAGATAAAAGCATTTTCCAGTATTAGAAATCTTTTTTTATATATTACTGTTTTGCATTGCTTGTTAAACTCTCTGGAAAGTACTCTCTGAAAGTAACTGGAAATACTGGAAAGTACAGGACTCTCTGAAAGTAACCTGAAACTTCCTGGCCACAAAATCAAGTTTGAAACTGCTTACATAGAAGTCAAAATGCATCATCTACAGACATGAGGCTATACTACTACCAGACTGCTTATGTGAACACCACCAATTTTATAAAAACAGAAGAAGCATTTTTATAAACTTAGGCATTAAAAGAAGGAAGACGAAGAGCACAGCTGAAGTCAAGCAGAACTGCTGATAAGCTATACATTGATACCTTTACCAGTTTTGCAGAGTACAAGCAGAAGGGCAGTAAAATGTGAAAAGTGGCGGCTTATTGCACTTGCGTTGGTATTAGGTATAAAAGTGTATATTTTGAAGGTCATGTAAGTTTCTAGGTTTTGGGAATATTAAAATCTAAGATGAAATCTTAATATATTTCTGTAAGAAAAAAACCTTGCTACCTAAAAGAGAAAGCATATGGACAAATGTACTGACAGAGAGAACTATGTTGCCAGTACGTGGAACGGTATCAATGATCTGAAATACACTGTGCCTTCCCATGTAACAAATAAACCGGGGACAGCTTTTGGAGGGAAATAAGCAAAAAAGGTGGATGACAACAAAGAAAAGTGACACAAAATTACAACAAAAAAGGGGAAAATGTCAGTTATCAAAACTGACTTTCTAGGTTAGTTAAATTTTCTTGGAAAACATTGTCAACAGAATTTGTAAGGACCAAAATACACTTTCATCTCTAAGTAAGAGTGAGACTTGTGAACAGCAATGAGAATATTTAAGATGTGACATGTCTAGGTTCAAGGTCTTCAATTTTGATATACATATTTTGATGGTTGCATTACAGAAACTCTTTTCCAGGATGCATTAAAGCTGTTCATCTTCTACAAATACCTTAATATGGACTGAGCAAGACAACAGTAACAAATCCCATGGTCCAAAGACTATACAGCACTGCCTAGGCTGTCAGGACAAGCTATAAAAATTAGGTATTTCACACACTGTGTTCAGAGCAGAAACATGAATAGACATTTGCCACTTGGCACACTCCTCCTAGGAGGAAAAAGAATTGAAATACACACACCTGTTCCCTCATGACCCTACTGTACGGTTGGTATTTGGCATAAAACAAAATAGGCAGATGTGTTTTGAGTGTCCTTCAAATCTGCTTCTCTTTTTCATAGTTCTGGGTATGTGTTTATTTTTGTGAATTACTAGGCTTAATACAGGTAGGAAAATGTCAACTGACAATTATAATTAACTTTACATATTTCTAGTAACAATGCACTTTATCTGAGCAGAATACATGAAACAGTACAGATCAATACTCAGAGGCTGTTTAAGCGGCATTCATCTACTAAAAAAAATCTGTAATTTGATATTTCAGTTAAATTTTTGTCATGTATTTGATATTAAGAATGATGCTGATCTATAGTATTATATTATTACAGACACATTAAAAAGATTACATAGGTAAGACTTAAGTTTCCATAGTCTCTCTAAGTGTTTTTGAACTACATATGCAGTTCAGTTATACTGGAGGGAAGGGATGAGATCCAGAAGGACCTTGAAACGCTTGAGAGGTGGGCCAGTGCCAACTTCATGAAGTTCAATGAAGCCAAGTGCAAGGTCCTACACCTGGGTTAGGTCAATCCCAGGCACAGCTACAGATTGGGCAGGAAAGAGACTCCTAGCAGCCTGAGAAGAAGGACTTCGGGGTGTTGGACAGTGAGAAAATGAACATGACCCAGCTTCAGTGTGCTCTTGGAGCCCAGAAAGCCAACCGTATCCTGAGCTGCACCAAAAGGGTCGAAGGAGGTGATCCTGCCCCTCTGCTCTCATGAGACACCACTTGGAGTACTATGTGCAGTTCTGATGTCCTCAACATAAGACATGGAGCTGTTGGAGCAATTCCAGAGAAGGGCACGAGGCTGATCAGGGGACTGGAGCACCTCCCATATGAAGACAGGCTGAGAAAGTTGGGGCTGTTCAGCCTGGAGAAGAGAAGGCTGCAAGGAGACCTCATAGCAGCCTTCCAGTATCTGAAGGGGGCATATAAGGACGCTGGGGATGGACTCTTCATTAGGGACTGTAGTGATAGGACAATGGGTAACTAAAGGATTTAAACTTCAACAGGGGAAGTTTAGATAAAAAGGTTAGATAAAAGAAAGAAATTCTTCCCTGTGAGGGGGGTGAGGCGCTGGAATAGGTTGCCCAGAGAAGTGATAAATGCTCCATCCCTGGCAGTGTTCCAGGCCAGGTTAGACAGAGCCTTGGGTGAGATGATTTAGTGTGTGGTGCCCCTGCCCATTGCAGTGGGTTTGGAATTAGATGATCCTAAGGTCCTTTCCAACCCTAACTATCCTATGATTCTATGTCCTAATTAGAAGCCTAAGATTATAGCTTTCCTGACATAATTTTCTAACTTATTATTTATCTGCTCTTTTATGCAATTAAAAATAACTTTTGGATATAGATGATCATAAATAATTGGGGACAGAAAAATGTCTTTCATTTCTCTGTCTATAAAACAATGATCCCAGCTCTTCTGGTGTCCATTCAAACATGCATTAGTTAGTGGCACTGCTGCTAATTACTCAGGGCGTTGCTGGCCTCTCTTTGATTTAAACTCAAGCTACCTGTTCTTTTGGATTAAGTGATGCCTCTATTATGAAAAAATCATCTTCCCTTGTCATATACTAAAAAGAGATACAATGTAAAAATAGAAAGAGCATTAAGCATTATGAAACATAAGCAAACCCACTGTGCTCAGTACAAACAGATAAAAAGAAAGAAAACACAGGACAACTGGGCAAATTAATCTCAGCAAAAAATTTATTTTAATGGGACAGATTATTCTTCATATCAGAAAGATGCAGTGATATTTCAGTAATAAAAGGGATGCCATCATCACGAAACACATTTTGCTTTCTCTGTCCTTCTCCTAAGATGCCACTAAAAAAGTATAAAAGAAAAAAAATATGGCCTGAAATAACCAAAAATACCTGTATTTACCTTTTACTTTTAAAAATTTTGGTATTGTTATTTACAGATGTAATTTAAGTAATTTTCACTTCTAAAGTCTTCAGTAACCCACTATTGCAGAATAAATTTTTCAGCACACAAAAATTATAAGATCTAAATCCTACCTATAACTCTTCTGTTATAATTTGACAGACATAAGTAAGATAGTGTCTCACCTTTATATACAACTGTTCTCTTAGGTTATCTATAAGAATGCATGTTTTTTCGTCCCACACAGGATTGAGGTTCTTGTGTACTGTTTTACTTCTAAATACTTCTTTGCCTCCAAGTTTGAACTTGACGTATGGGTCACTGGTTCCTGTTAAAGACATGTATATACTATTAACGATACCACTTTAATACATTAAGGGAATGGAAATAAACTGAAACAGAAGTAAATGCAATTTCTGCCAACAGTCGGTTCGAAAACAGCAGTTGAGGAAAGAATTTTTTTATTGTCACAATTTATTATTTTCCACAGTGTCATTACTCTGTAATTCACTGTGTTAATGTCAAACGGGTGTTTGCATCACTTTGTTGTCTGCAATCCGTACTCAAACTAATACATAGAATACTGCCTGTTGCAGTGTAGTTTTCAGTTAACAGAATTAAGTCCTTACCAGGACTAGGCTTTTATTGTTATGCAATCACAAAAACTAGATTATAAAGGTAAAATTATTTCTGAAAAATATTAATCTAATTATCTTATGCCTTTGAAAAAGCACAGGCTCCACTGGCAGCACTAGTGTAGCTTCATCATTGACTTTACTGTTTCTCTGCTTCCCTTTTCCATGAAAACACACTTCCCACGACACTCACAATGAGCAGATCAACTATAAAGTCAGTTCACAAAGTTCATGTGATTCCTGCAGCACCTGCCCACATGACAGCACAAGGTCCAAGCCCCCTGATGCCACTGAATAACAACCAACTAGGGCCAGAAAAACAACCCTGAAAGGAATTGAAAGAGAAATGTCAAATATGGCATGAATGGGGAATGGAGAGGACATGGACGTGGAAATGTCAGAGGGAACAGCTGGTGGAAGGAGAATTCTTCGGATGACACATGGTGGGCGCATAGAGAAGAGCAGCCATACAGGAGCTCATGTGTACCCTCTTCTCAAGGCACCCATGTGGGCAAAGGACAGTGAGCAAAAATCCAACAGCATATACAGAGATGTGAAAAGGCTGAGAGACAGATCACAGGCAGCTCCGAGAAGGTACAAAATAGCACATCCAAAATCATCAAGTCAAGTGACTAGCAGAAGCCCTGCAGAGGTAAAAAGGACCTGTCAGCTAGCATCCTTGCCCTCCCTATCATTCACAACCCAGAGAACACATCTGTGCTTGTGAATGTGACTGTGAGTATGTGGGTGTGGAAGTGTGAAAGCAAATTACCAAAATCAGTTTGAGTTTAAAATAAAATCACTTTCCCGTGCCACAAGGTTTTCACATTTAGGTTTACTATGTTCCTATTACCATGCTGCGATTCTGCTTCACACAATTCAACTTCAACTCCGAGTGCACTGACTATAGCTGATGCTTGGAAAGAGGGTGAACCTGCAGGAAGGATGTGGCCAGAACAGGACAAATGCTGCTTTCACTTGTGCCCAGCAGCCTCACCATGGGGACCAGCAGCGAACAGCACAAGGCTGCCCTTAACAAGTATTGAAGCCGGAGTCATTGCTGCTGCTGGAAGGAGCAACTTTGGTGTTTGCTGCTGACCCCCCGCTGCGGTGGCACCAACAGCTCAGGAAATGGCTACCAAATGGATCTGGGAACTGGTCCAGCCGAAAATGGCAAACATTTTGCAGCTAGATGGGCCCCAAGTAGAACTGTAAAACATGTAGTTGTGCCTGAGACAGTCCTCATGAAACCACCACTTCCATGGTGAGTTGAAGAAAGACTGTACATCTTTTCCTGCACATTTGGATTGCAAAATTGTAACTGTCTTTAAACAAAAGAAAAAAGCTGGACAGAAAATTCAACCTAATCCCCTTCCTAAAATGCCAGTTGGTATGATTCCATTCTTAGGTAAGTGAAACGCATTTTAACAAAAAATATTGGCTGCGATTTTCTGTTTTTCTCTTCACTGTTTCTGAGCCTTAGTAATATTTGAGTCTAACCAATCCAAGAATATCTTAAAATAAACAATAATCCTTGCATGAAAAGCTCCATCTTCAAAAGCAGCAGCAGAATTATAAGACAGACTTTCGGGGGGTGGGGATGGGGGGTGTTGATTTTTGTTTTTACTTTGAATGTTTTTCACAAGACAAGCATATTGTAGAGGCGTGTGCTTACAGCCAGTGGGAAATGCAGTCGCTAGCTTTAGCTGAAATTACAACACGCTTCTTCTAAACAGAACATCCTCTGACCAGAGCTTCTTACACTATTTCATGCAGCCACAAGATGTCAGTACTCTTTACTTAAAATCCCTTTCAAAAAACTGTAGTGGTGTAAAGCAATGATCTCGCATGTGACAAGGTTATACAGTCATCCACTCTGGAAACGACTGAGGCAGAATTTCAACTGCGTAAAAATATTTATTCTGGCATAATTAACTTGCTTCATGGGTATTCCAGTACCGCTTATTAAGGCAAGGACCAGACATTTGAATTAATTCAATAAAATACGAAGAATACTTTGAACATGGACACTAACAAACCAATGACACTAATACAAGTCGTAACTCCCTGTAAGCAGTGATTTTTCTCATGGCTCCTCATGGTACTGCTGATGCACTTTAAGCATGATCTTTTATTGTGCAGACTTCACAAATCTCAAAAACACTGCTGAAATTTGAAATCAATGTAAAATAATGTGGTGAATACATGCCCGGTGAATACATGCCCAGTAAATACTTCTGAATCCAGATAGCAAATAATTTACTACTATATCTTTTTTTTTTGGTGTAGATTTAGTAGTAAGGTGGCTCAACTGCTGGTTCTACTTACCGCATTACAAAACCTCAGGGTTTTTATCTCCGTGCCACAAACGTTGAGAACGACTAACAAGCTAGCTTAACTTCATCTCTATTTTAAAGCTGAGAATTCATTAGGCCCACTGCGTCAAAAGCTGCATTCCTTTCACAGACCTCTTACATTCCTTGAAGAGAGCCCATGAAATTTTAGAAGTATATGTATAAAGAAAGGCATGATCACTCAGTTCCAACCCCCTGCCACAGGCAGGACACCTTCCACTAGACCAGGCTGCTCCAAGCCCCATCCACCGTGGCCTTGAACACTGCCAGGGATGGGGCAGCCACAGCTTCTCTGGGCACCCTGTGCCAGGGCCTCACCACCCTCACAGGGAAGAGCTTCTGCCTAAGAGCTCATCTCAGTCTCCCCTCTGTCAGGTTCAAGCCATTCCCCCTTGTCCTGTCCCTACAGGCCCTTGTCCAAAGCCCATCTCCAGGTTTCCTGTAGCCCCTTTAGGCACTGGAGCTGCTCTAAGGTCCCCCCTTAAGGAGCCTTCTCTTCCCCAGGCTGAACCAGCCCAGCTCTCTCAGCCTGTCTCCAGAGCAGAGCTGCTCCAGCCCTCGCAGCATCTCCATGGCCTCCTCTGGACTCGCCCCAAAAGCTCCATGTTCATCTTGTGTTGCTGCCCTAGAGCTGGACACAGGACTGCAGGGGGGTTCTCCCCAGAGTGCAGTAGAGGGGGAGAATCCCCTCCCTCAACCTGCTGCTCACGCTCTGAGGATGCAGCCCACCACCTGTGGGGGTTCTGGTCTCAAGCTCACACTGAAGCTGGGTCATGGGGTCTCGTCACCCAACACCCCCAGCCCTTCTCAGGGCTGCTCCCAACCCAGTCTCTACCCAGCCTGTGTTTGTGCTTGGGATTGCCTCAACCCAGGTGCAGGGCCTTGCATCATCACAAGCTGAACAGCTAGCTTCTCTCAAAAACAACCTCTGTGAGAGGCTGCTCCCTTGCTCAAGCACCATCATTACTTGTGTAAAGGCAATAAGATTTCTTGGCACAGGGTGGCAGCCTCTGTTTCCCTAGGATGAATCATCCTAACAGATACCTAAAGACGCCGCCCAAGCCCAGAAGTGTACAGTAATTGCACACTGAAATTTTCAAGGCAAGTTTTAGAATATGACGCTAATTAACTAGGAGGAAAGTTCTCAGTTGTGTTAGCAGAGTATGCCCAGTATAACACCTATCAGTTCTTAGTGTTTTATGTATTTTACATTTGAAACTGCATTATGCAACATCTCATAATAAAGAACATAGAAAAATGTGTCTGCTCTGTATAGTCTTTCATTCTGAAAAGTAAGGAATTACTTAGCATGAATTATTTTATAGTAATTTAACAAATAGAAATAGTAATGCTTTTGTTGAAGAGCTGCCAAGCCTATCTTCTCATTGGTCTTCAGCAACCCCCTAAACACCCCAACTACACCACTAAAGCCTAAGGCTTTTCCATAAATAATTGTACTTTCTGTCCTTCTGTCCACCTAGCAAAGAATTACCCACCCAATTCACTTAAAACAATGCACTAATTAGCTTAAACTGTACAAAGCTTTTCTGGAAAGCTAATATCCTAAGAATGAACATGCCCATTACAAATACACAGTGAGCACACAGCTGTTACAGGCTGCAGAGTTTTTCTACTCAAAACTGAACAGGGAATACAAACTTTTAATTATTCAGTGCCCATTAAAGAAATATTGTTTATAACAATCACAGCTTTTTATCTTTCTTTTGAAGACTAATTCCTGCCACAAAAAAGACAGCTGCCATACTGTAGTTCAACGTAGCCCATCGTAAGTATCTTTACCTAGTTTATTAAATACTCATTTAAGCAAATACTAATTTTGGTTGTGAAATGGAAAAACAAAAAAAAACCCAACCAAACATACTGGCATAGGACAGAATAACCAAAATGTAAATGTGCAATGACTGGCCTAATTTCAAGGAAACATATTTAATTTTTGGCATGGGTGAAGTCAGGTTCATTTAAACAGGATTTAAGCATGATACAGAAATGTCTTCCTGGTAGCTCAATTTATTATTCTAGTTAATATACTTTGATAGAAAGAGAATTGCATCCCTTAATAAAAGGAAACATTGTTTGTTTTGTCCCTAAAAGCTCATGACTTAAATGCTAATCTTCCTGAAATTGTTTAAGCTGGACTTCCTATTCTCTTTTAGTGATCAGGTAAGAGGTATTTGATGCCTTCTGATTTGAATTTACAAACCAGGTTTCTCCAGGATGATGGTCTGGAAGTCCCAAGCCAAGCTGCTGCTACCAATGCTCTGTCAATTTACCTGCATTAACAATAAATGACTTCACATGGATCTTGGATACTGGAGTAG